CACTCATCTGAAAAGGTAACAAGAAATCGTTGAGTTTTGATTACTAGAAAGTCTGGCAAAGATCTACAGAATGAGAATATATATGTATAGGCTATATGGAATTCATGAACAATTGAGCTTTATATAGTTTGTAAAGCTGCAAAACGAAAAAGACAGCACTACATAGGCAAAAGATACAGATACTTTATGTTGTGTGAGTGTGAGTATGTGTATTTATATATATGTATGTATTTTTTACGCTTTTGCAATAAGCATTTCACAGTCAAGGTCAAGTAAAACATTTGGCTTCCTTTTTATTATTTCTTGTGCTGCCTTTTCGGTTTCCCTTTTCAACGCTTGCACGTGCTTCTGTATCTGTATCTGTAGCTGTAGTTGTATCTGTATCTTTTGCGCGTATCTAACAGCTAAGCATGCGCAGTGGAGGCCAGACGAGGATGTCGACTGTCTGCCGTCTGCCGTCTGCTGTTCACTTGATCAAGCACAAGTACAGCGCCCGAGGCATTTGGGTTTTATTGATGCTTGGTTTTTTGTGGTTATTCTTGCTCTGCTCTGCCCGGGCTGAGAACTGAATGCCATGTGTGTGCTGGCTGCTTGTTATACTCATTCACGAAAGTGAATCAGTATATTGGTTTTGTGCAATGTCCGTCTTGCTGTCCGTCTTGCTGTCCGTCCGTCTGTCCGTCTGTCCGTCCGTCCGTCCGTCCGTCTGTCCGTATGAACGCAATCTATTTCGGCGCTATTGAAGCTAGAGACTTGAAATTTGGAACACATACTCGTGTATATCTCCGATTTATAAAGTGTTAAAATTTTCCCGATCCGCCCACTAGGGGCGTGGCAAATCGGAAAAACCTGTATATTCTACAGTATTAGAACGAAACTTAACTACTAAATTGTTGATGGGATGTGAATGAGTATTCCGCAGTCGGTAACGCCCGACTGCAACGTTCTTACTTGTTTTGGTTGGTTTAGCTCGGCTGCTTGGGTGTCTGCCCAGACAAGGAATTCCAATTTCTTTTTCACTTTGCCTCGGCTGCGAAACCTGCTTACCAAAAACGAGCGAAACTCAGCTAAATGCGACTTGTTTTGGGGAGAAGGCGCAAATAACCAGCAGACAGAAGACTCATTAGAGGCCAGCCAGCAGCTAGTTGCGATACAAATTTCACTGGGTGGCTGCTTCAATTGAAATATCGTTGCCAATTTTCCTATAATCTACTAACCCATTTCACGCTAAAAATCAACTTATATCACCTCATATTTCGTGTATAAATACATCATAATTTAAATAAGTAAAGGTTCGCATAGTTAACTCATTTTGTGCACTCATTTTGTGTACTTTTGAATTCAATTACATTTTTAATATAAACTTTTATTTTGTAATTAATAAAAGTAAATATTTAAAACTTAAGAAAACAATCCTGTTCAACAATATTAAAATTTAAATCATTTTAAAATTCATTTTTTGTATCTCTAACTAAAACAAATTCGATAAAGATGAGTTCCAAACATCCAATTGCTATAATATATTATATTTACATCAATATACATATATGAGTTGAAAACGATGAAGTATCTATGTTATATTGTGTATGTACTTAAATATATTTTTAAAATTCTGAGGTCAATCATTAGATCAATCAGTAAATTAGCTAGGATTAAAACTCACAAAAAATAAACAACTGCAAGGACTTTCTGATGGGAATTGAAACCAAACTACCTATATTAAATATAGGTATAAATGTATTACAAAAGTATATATCCACATCTACCTCAATCAAAATAATTTTTTTTAAATCTTAAATGTTTATTTATTTGTGATTATTATAATATTGCAATCTGTTATGGGTTATTATTGATTATAAGACTGATTATCATTTTCTGGCTTCTATGGATAAAGATTCTTAGTTTTGCTTACATCTGCATCTCGTAGCTTTTATTTTGCTTCTCCCGGTTTTAATATTACTGAAAGTCATTTCAGGTCCTCCAATAAGTCTTTCCGAATTTGGCTTCACGTCGAAAAACCATTTCCGTTTTCATAGCCTTATTTTGGGCTTTCAGGATTCCTTTACTGTGTGCATTTTAAGAGCAAATCGCTTTATATTTCATAATTGCACATTTTTGTTATGAAGAGCCAATGGCAATGGAATTTTCTCATGTTGCCGCCACTAAAAGCAGCGCAAAGACTAAACGCAACAACTTTTGGGGGCTGTTCCCAGCTACTCGATGTGAATTTTAAGCAGTCTTCGCTTTTATGAAACTAATTAAATTCGCAGCTTACATTGGAATCAGTTTGGAAGAGAAACGTACTTAGTATATCTCGCTGTGCTCTCGTTGAATAAGGAATATTACTCTTTGGTCTTTTTATACTCATTCACGAAAGTGAATCAGTATATTGGTTTTGTGCAATGTCCGTCTTGCTGTCCATCCGTCTGTCCGTCTGTCCGTCCGTCCGTCTGTCCGTATGAACGCAATCTATTTCGGCGCTATTGAAGCTAGAGACTTGAAATTTGTAATACATATTCCTTATTCATATTCACATTCCCGATCCGCCCACTAGGGGCGTGGCAAATCGGAAAATACATTTTCCGATATACCAGAAATCATGTTAGTTAAAGAGCTAGAAAGCTGAAATTTGGTATGTAGGTCCGCGTCGACCACCCAAGATCACGAGCTATGGCGGATATATCCCCGCCCATTTGGGGCGTGGCAAATCGGATAAAACCGTATCTCCTAAAGTTGTAAACCTAGAATGCTGAAATTTTGCATGTCAGCTAATGTTATGATTCTATAAAGTCTAAAGACAAAATTATAAGTCTACGCCCGTTAGGGGCGTGGCAAATCGGACCTGAAGATATAGTGATTTTTTTAATTCTGCTATATTTTTGACACTATTGATGCCAGAGATCTCAAATTTTTTATATATACTCGGGCTGATCCCCCAAGACCAAAAAGCTTTGTTGGATATATGTCCGCCCACAGGGGGCGTGGCAAACCGCAAACATTTATATCTCCTAAAGTATAATAGCTAGAGGCTTAAAATATAGTTGATAGTTGAAATACTGGTAGCCTCCTCTATCGATTCCTCAAAAAATAATTTTTACTCCTCTTTAGGAGCGTGGCGTATTGAAAAATACCCTGTAATTTTCACTTTTATTGAGAGTAAGCATTCAAACTTTGCAGTTAGGGTACTGTTACGCCCAGTTGGGGCGTGGCAAATCGGAAAAAACTGTATATTCTACAATATTAGAGCGAAACTTAACTACTATATTGTTGATGGGATGTGAATGAGTATTCCGCTGTCGGTAACGCCCGACTGCAACGTTCTTACTTGTTATATATTATATAAAACGAATTCAGTTGCTCGTCGTGTGGGAAAAATATATAATATAAAATACATCGATTAAGAAGACGAATTGAGAAAATCACCTTATGCCCGAATGAAATTCATTTAAAGTATATTCAAGTAAGGCCCAGCAATTGCAGAGAACTTTCAAGATATTTTATTGTTCGAATATCTCAAATTCATACAAACATAAATCGACAGACAGACAAGCTGACCCAACAMGAGTCAAGTTCGTGGCTACAGGCAGGCAGAAAGCACGAAGAACCCAGCCCGCCTTGGCTGCAGGCGACGCCAGAGCAGGAGACTGAGAGACTGGGAGACTGGGAGACTGAGTCAGAGTAGCCAGGCCAGGTGGAGGGCGAGAGCCGGTTGCGGTTCGAGCCAAGTGCAGCGCAAATGGATGGATGGACATGGACGCTCGCACTTATTAATGCTTAATAAATGGCATTTCATTTCTTATTATTGTTGGACTGGGCGCGACGTGGATATGTCCGAAGATTTTTATTGCAACTGTGGCTGCGGTTCGCATTGTTGTTGTTGTTGTTAATGCGAGTCGATATATTGGTCATGACTAAGGATGCACACACAGTCACACATACACCCATATATGTATATATATACATATGTATGTATATATAACATGCAGTCAGTCAGTCAGTCAACGTGTGCTRAAGTAATTATTTCATTTGAGCCAACAATGAGGTTGCAAGTCCGTTCGAGCGCTTTGAGCGACTGTTGCCGTGAGATGGACATGAAAATTAAAGAAGCTGGCATCAGAACCGGGCATTGGTCTGCGAACCGCCTCATGATAAACGCTTTCAGTGCTTTTAACGACTCAACTTTGGCATTGCCAGCCCATTTGTAAAGTACTCGGGAATGTAAATGAAGCGGGTGTCTGTCGCTACGGCTGCTCAAAATGTTGTATTTCGAGGTCTTCTGGGTCATTGCACCTCGCTTCAATGGACTGGTCACGGCCACAGTTTTACAGTTGCAACTGGCAATATAGAAGCTACCGCTGAACACATATGTATGTATATGAGTGGTAAATATGCTGATTTCAATATATATTTACTAAATATTACTAATTATTTAATAATCATATTTTCATATTCTTTTTTTTATTTTCCATATAGATTTTGTAAAATGTGTTACTTTTAAATTTTATTTCGTTCGCGCCAAAGTATCAGCCAAACATGTTATCGACCGCTATCACCATCGATAACTAGTCATGCGCGCTGCTAGTGAGTCAAATAGTTCGTTTTGAATTTGAGCAAGTTCTTTTGGCCGTGAACTGTTTTAATTGTATTGTAGTATGCATAAAACGTTGAAATATGCTCATTTTACATTAATAATCACTAGAAAATTTTTCAAATTTATTATTGAATTGTTATGTTTTGAACAAATGATGAAAGACAACATATAAACTTAAATTAAAACAAGGAACTTGAACTGGTTCAGCTCTTTGCTATAATTTGTTCTCTCTCTCTCTCTCTCTCTGAGCACATAAATCAATGTGACCGAATTAAGTAAAAGAATTTCTGTGTAAAAATCGAAGACGCTTCGTAGAAAACCAAACAAAAACGAAAACAAAGTTAAACTAATGTAAGATTAAATGCAAAGCAGTGTTTATCCATTGAAATTATACTAGTGACATTTACAGATGCAAACGGCAGGCTCAAATACAGCAGCAGCTGCAGCTGGTGCCGGCGGCGAGCCCACGGCAGCACCTCTGCGCGCCTGCAGTACGAGCGGCTGCCGGGTGAGCAAATATGTCGAGGTGACCAAACGCAAGTGCTCACAGTTTGTTTCCGCACCGTACATTATGCCCAAGCCCTTGGTGGTCAATGGCAAGACATCGATTTTCCAAGTGGGCGGCGAAATGGCCAAAATGGGCGACATACCCTCGTTGGCTGCTGCAGCGGGCAGTGGCGAGGGCCAACCCATCTATCGAATTAAGCCAGGCACCCATGCGCATGTCATCAACTATGTGTTCATAGACGAAGGCTCTGACTCCATGGAGAAGGCCAAGTCGGAAGACCAAGAGGCCATGCGAATGCTGCTCGACTCACAGCGCGAGAGCGCCACAGCAAAGCTGCAGAAATTACTCTCCACCCATCGTGGACTAGCACTGCTATCTGCGGCAACGACAGCCACTGCTCCAGATGCAGCTACTGCTCCAGTTGCTCCAGTTGCTCCAGCTGCTGCCAATGTGGTGCCCACCGCAGCTACTGTGCCACCGGCTGGTATGGCCAACAATGTGCACGTCACTACTCCGCAAATTCATCCCAACTTGTCCATTGCCAGTGTGGAGGGCGCTGCTATGCCATTTGCACCCACAGCAGTACCCAGCCTCACACCAATATCCACAGCCACACCCACACCGACGCCTGCTTCAGTGCCCGTGCCCGCGCCCGCTGCCGTTGCAGCAGCACCTCCACCAAAGAGCAAGCCAATGGACACCAGCGTTGACCAGCTACAGGCCGAGATCCTCAAGCTACGTCGCACTGTGGCACGCCTCGGCGGCGGTCGCGTTCCCAAGTGACTTTAGCACATGTAAAATAATTTACTCATAGGTAGCAGGAAAGTTAGCATAAATGACACTTATCCATAGATAGCCATCGAATACTCTTTGACCATAGTCTAGGACGTTCTCTGTTAATAAACAAACATGTTTAGCATTAACAAAACTGAAGTAATCTATGTGGAGAGCAGGGATCTATGCGCTGAAACAATGTATGTATCTATATTTCGAGTTATCTGAGCGGCAGACTGAATTTACTTTTTATGGGTTTCAGCTCTTCTTTTCGATTACTTGTTGTTGTTTTTTTTTTTTAATGAAACCGAAATGGATAAGCCGGCTTTGGCTCTTTGGAGCGTCGCTCAGATTTTTGCCATACACGAGTTGAATCTTAAGGAGTCGTAAATGTGGAATTTTATGTGTCATCCGCGACGGCGGCGCTGTCCACTGCAAGGCGAAAACTTCGCAATCGAACGTAAATTACATTTTATGATGCCAAAAGGGTGAGACGTCGAGTGCAACAGCAACTGGCCACACAGCAGCAACAACTGCAACATGTGGCATGCAATTGCAAAATGTAAATAGAAATTGACTAAGAGCTTCTAGAAGAACTGCTATCTGATTCTCGAATAAATGCAGAATGTCGTTACGGAGCACTCAGTGCCAAGATCAGGACGCGGTTGAGCTTAAGGGTAGCCAATGGCTGCACGTTGATCATCTCCCTCTCTCTCTCTCTCGCTCTCTCTCTCTCTCTGCTTGCCTCGCATAAAAAGTAACGAATGTGCGCAATAATAAAAATCATTAAAATAAAAATGTTTATGAGAGTGCATAAACACGACTTTATAGGGCAGCGGCAGCGGAGGGCAGACTGGAGCACTTGATGGCCGCGTCCCAGGCCCAGGCCCAGGCCCAGGCCCAGGTCCAAGCTGTACTGCCACTTGAAGGGAGGCGGCGCGGGAGTGTCAATGCAGGCAAAAGTATCTGCGCATTTGTTTCGCTCGGCACTCAGCAAAAGTCACACACACGCACACACACCCATGCACACACATTGGGATTGGGATTGGGATGCTAACTCATTTTGGCGGCTGTGGCTGCTGCTGCTGTTGCTGTTGCTGTTGCTGCTGCTGCCTGCGACGCCAGTTGCGAGTCGTACCTGTGACGAGGCAACTCGAGGCATCTCGAGGCAGCTCGCAGGCGCAGGCGCTCAGCTCAAAAATAATTTGCAATTTCTGAGAAATACTCACATTTGCGCTGCCTTGCGCTGACTTTATGCGCTGCCGGTTGCCGTCGCCGTCGCCGTCGCCGTCGTCGTCGTCTCAAGAACCTACCAATGCGACGGTGTGGCCGTAATGAAAATTAAAATACGAAACACTCAGGCAAAAGGTCGGCAAGGAGCCAATGAGCAGGCGCAACTGCCGTCGCGACCGCCCCGCCGGACGCTGCTCCCCCGAGCTGTCGTCCGGTCGCTTGGTCGGATTGCTTGTCGTTATCTTGTCATGTCAAAATGGTCTTACGAAAATGTATCTTTTGTATTCCAAGTGCAAATGAGCAGCACAGATACAAAACAACAAGCCAAGCCCTCCACCCGTCCATCCATCCCTCCGTCTCACCGTCCCTCCGCGCTGCCTTGTTTCCTTTTATTTGTTTGCTCACTCGCAATTTTTATGCCTTTATTGTGTTTACTCTTTGCCTTCGTTTCTGCAAATGCTTTTAAGACTTTAAGACTTTTTAGTTTGTAGTTGAGCGTACAAATTTGTATCCCTCTCCCTCTCCCTCTCCCGCTGCCTTTGCCCTTGCCATGCCCGCACAGAAGCCCCAGGAACAGGATTGACCACTCCGAGCACCGAATGTATCTGTATCTTCTTCTTGGGTTCTCTCTTCCCAGCAACTCCACGAGCCGGAGACGGCGAGCTGGGAGCTGGGAGCTGGGCGCTGCGCCTGCGCCCGCTGCTGATGCTGACGATGATGATGACACAACATGAAATGGTAAAACACGCTGAAAAATATTAAATACGCTACGTCGCTGCCTTTTGACAGCGGACGTAAATTTGCTTTTGCCCGTGCCCCTTGCCTCGTACCCCCTCCCTCCAGCAGTCCCGTCCCGGTCCGTCCCTCTGCCACTCTGCCCCAGCCTCTGGCAACTCTGGTTTAATTGCACATAAGCTTGGCCCTCGGTCGGCGTGCTGGACCGAAGGCACCAACTGTGATTGTGAGGATCTCTCGGCAATTAAAATAGAGTGTAAGTTAAGGATGCATAAAACGCTGATCTTTATATGTACAGCACTCCGACGCATTATCGTCATTGGATATGGCTGCTATAGAGCCCGACCTAGGGCCAGCTTAATGCATTCCTGGAAGCTTGGATCGATCACACATAAAGTGCGATACGATATCGCAGAAAGGCATTTTTATATATATACAATATATATGTATTATGTATGTGTACTATTATATGTATATCTAGGTGATATGATCACTGAGAGGTGATCAAACTGTTAGCATTTCATGATTGAAGATTTTACTAAAGAGAAGCTTGATTGATTTAATAGATTTTTAGCGAGTTCATGATATCATGTAGAAACACGTAGTAGAGCACTCCTACATGCCGAGACGGTTCGACTAGGATATACCCTGAACCCTGCAAGCTGAGATTCTTTATGTACAGACGGACGGGCAGGACTATATCGACTCAGCTCGTCGCCCTGATCAGGAATATATAGTTTATGGGGTCTGCGATGCTTTCGTCTGCCTGTTACATACTTTTCACGAACCATTATACCCTGATTTCTCATTTTCAGTGGGTTCAGTGTATACAAATATAAATAATTCGTTTTCCACTGTAATATTCCAATTACAAGATACATACATTTTTTAAAAGGAATTTTTAGTATTACAATTTTCCCTATTTTATACTGTTTTGAAACTGCAGTCAAAAATTTAACTTCTTAGAAAAGTCAATAAATCTGAATAGATTTTTGAGGCGAAACTCGAATTAAGTGGATGGATTTCTGGATGTAGTCCTTTAAATATTATTATAATATATAATTTACTATGATATTACATTATATTGATATTATACACAGCAATTAATTGTTGGATTGTAAGTTAATTGTCTTCATAAAACCTGCTGTATCAACTAAATAAATATATAGCAGTTCTAGATGAATTTTTGATTTTATTAAAATATAATTGATACCCTCTGTACTGTATATTTTTTATCTCTTTTAGTATATTAATTGACCAGTTTGGATACAATAACTGCCGAATAATTATACTAAAATAGACTAAAGACTATGACGAAATTTTCATTGGAATATAGTAAATAATATTAGGAGTAACTATTTTGTATTTAATGCAAATTAGAGTAAATTTAATTAAAAGTAGACAATGCATATATGAATTTATAAGTCTATATAGCCTCAAAAAAACATTGAGTAAAATGGTGCACAAATTCGCGGTCTTCCAAAATGTTCCCATTAAAGAACAATTTCAAATGTTTAAAAATTGAAGAGATTTGATTAAAACGTACAAACATCACCAGAGCGACGGATTTTCTATGGGAATAAGTTGAAGTAAGTAACGAGATAGACTAGGAGATACCCTGCACCCCAGACAATCTGTGTTAGTAAGCATACTACACGCTGTTCCAACGAGAACTGATATTCCCAATGGCCTTAGGGTATAAAAAAGGATTTATCCAAAGCTGAAGCAACATCAAATTGAAATCCGCATGAAATGTGTCAAAATTTTGAGAGCAAACAATGAATTTAATTAAATCTTGCAATGTGTCGCACAGCAGTAAAAAATTGTTGAAGTCAAATTAAATCTTGCATATCGCCGCCAACAACTCAGATTTGGAGACTGGGACAAACGGCAGCCGCACTGACATAGATACACAGACATACATACGTATGTATGTATATACCTATATTCATACGGCTGCATGCGAAATTTTGTTTAGACACAAAACAGATTGAAGATCAAAGCCCAGAGCTGGGGCAGTGTTGCCGTTTCCTGTGGCGCGTCATAATAACAGCGAACCAAAGATAACAACAACAAGTCAAGCACACACAAATACACACTCACACACACACACGCACACATACACAAACAACATCAAGTTGACTTTGGCGTCCTACCGCATTCTAAGTTCTATTGGCACAAAGACCGACTTTTGCGTTGCGGTCTTTCGGGTTTGCATGCAAAGTATCTGCGTATCTGTTAGATACGGGATACAGATGCAGCTTGAGCGCTGGCAGCGAAACTCGTTTTCTTGCATAGGGCAAACAGACACACACGCAGACAGACACACACACATGCACATCAGTTTGGTTTCCCTTTGGCTGACTGCGTGAGTAACTCCCATTCTCAGGCCTTCTGCTGCGAGTATCTCTGCGTGTGTGTGTGTGTGTGTTTGTGTGCGTTTGTTTGTGTGTGGTATTTGTGGAGTGTCTGCGCATACTTCTACGTGTGTATGTGTGTGTAGCGCCCTCGCGGCATAGTTTGCATTTTCAAGGTCGCATGCTGAAGCTTCTCTTCAGCCGCTGCCACTGCCGCTGCCGCTGCCGCTGCTGCTGCCACTGCTGCTGCCTCTGCAGCTTCTTCTGCTGAATTTTGGCGAGTGTGCGGCCATTTCTCAGGGTCTAACGACGCCAGCTTTGCGATTATCCAGTGATATTGTAATCTGCTGCCAGGTAATCTGTCGGTTGCCTTCAAAATGTACCTTATAGCTATGCCCTAAGCCCATTACAAGCCTCGCTGGTGACAGTGCATCCAATTTAGCATATAAAGTATAATTTTTACGAGTGCAGCCGGCTTAAGGAACGAGCACTGAAATCGCAAAGATATGTAGTCGCCCAGTCGCAGTCGCAGTTGGAGTTGGCGGCTTAAGTGACTGACTACGTATATGTGTATGTGTGTGTGTGAGTGTGTCTTTGTGTGTGTGTGTGTTTATTGGTGCAACATTTCGCGCTGCAAGTTCTTTTGAACTTCAGTGTTCCGCTCTGCACTTTCCATTGTCCCTGGAGTTATTTCCTTTACGTGACTCTGCGCTGAGTCATCCAAAAGGGAAGGGGAGGAGCAGAAGAGTTCGGCCTACCCAAATCCTGTGGATCAGAGCAATACCAGCCACATCGATGGTTGC